TCCCTTCATCATGCTCATGCAGGTATCGGCCGGGTATATCAGCAGCTAAGGCGACACTATATCGATAGGCATGGAAAAGAATGTTGCTGGTAGGATTTCAAGCAGTTTACCACCGGGAGCGGACTAAATACCCCCGGCAGTGGCAGGCAAAGGAAAGGCGACGATAGAAGAAACATTGCTGGCATTTCACGATTATATTATTTGAACGGCTGGATTATTCCTAATGACAACAAAGGAAATAGCTTCTTCTCCTATAAGACCGAGAGCGGGATGTCTGTTAGCATGACGGTGGCTTTCCTATCTCTAAAAGTACATTGGAACACAGTCCCTTGCTATGAACCGGCTTTGTGGCTTCCTAGCAGCCACGGATCCTGGAGAAGCTCCTTCGCGGTGGCTCTTTGCTCTGGCATCCAAGTCAGGGCTTTACGGACGAATCGCAGGAATGCATCCTTGTCCCTGGTCTCCAGGCGAGTCTCGAGCGACTCCAGGGTCCGGCCCTCTGGAATATCCGCAAGACCCAGCCATTCGCCTAGAAGACTGACGTTAGCGGCTCCCATATAGAAGAGAAATATTTTCAGTTGAATAGTTATGAATAAAATGATCTACCGTTTTCATCCCAAAAGTCGGCTCTTCTTTCTGGATTTTTGGCTAGGAACTTGGGAGGCGGTGGGCCAAGTGCTGCAATCAGCTGGGCGAAATGCGTGGCATCGTACACGCCGCCATCCACGTCTCTGGCTGTAAACGGTCTTTCAAGCCCTAGGAGGTCCCAAGCCTTGTGCAGGTAAAGTGTTAGTTTGGGGCAAAAGATGGCGCTGAATATGACGTACCGTGAGGCCAACACTCCATACGTCGACGGGATAACTCCATGTCACGTAGAGCAGTGTTTCGGGGGCCCGGTACTCGAGTGGCATGATATCACCGGGATGGGGCCCAGGGCCTAGCCTCGCCTCGCCAAAGTCGGATAGCAGCATGGGGCCCTCCTTTGGCTTGGACAGACGCGATAGATAGATCGTCCGGGAGTCCGAAACCGGCTTCCGGGCAACGGGAGCCCTTAGCTCTGCATCTTCGAGATTTTTAAGCAATGTATTGTCCCACAGCCCTAAAAGCATGTTTCCAGAGTGCACATCTATACTCCGTATATACAAGAATAATACGTAAGCAATTTTTATCCATACAGACGAGAATGGAGAAGTCCACTCCGTACCCGTATGAACAGCTTCCGCATGGCTGTGTAAGGGATCCAGGGCCTGGAGAAGCTCGATGATGGCACCTCTGACGAACGCTGGATCAAACCCGTTGGGGAAGAAGACCAGTTTCATGTCGCGCAGGCTCATCTGGGCGGCCCGGTGGACAAGAACTAGATGCCTGCCGTCTGGTCCGGCCACTGTGAAGGAGTCGAGTAGCTGCCGGATGTTGAGGCGCCCACGATGGGCTGTAGCCGTCTCGATATGCGGCGAGATGTGGTGGTACACGGGTATCTCGCGATGAATGGCAGAGGTATGCACATACACCTTCAGCATGACATACAGATGGTCCCTGTCTCCTTGTTAGCCGTTCTGTACAGATATATAACAGGAGGAGCTGTATGTATGCATGTAGATAGTTACCTGAGATCTCGAGCCAGCCAGACGGTCGAGGAAGAGCCAAACCCGAGTTTCCCCAGCACTTGATGACGCCCTCGGAAGACTTCCCCCAGACGAACAGGGTAGAACCTATCGGCTTTGTAGTCTGGCAGCTCTTCTTCTTCCACCAGCTGAGCAGCATCGACTGTCTGGAAGCCGCTGGCAGGGCGAGATCTTGGTTGCTCAGGCGGCTTTGGGGCCGGCTTCGACTTCCAGAGGCCAGTCCAGAGAGAGCGCACTCTTATCGAAGGGAAGACCAGTGGTGTGCGTGTTACCGGCCGGACGTAATAAAGACGAGTTCCAAGCTCGAGAGATGCCATGGCGGAAGAGACATCTAAACATGCCCATTCTTCCAGCAGTCCCGCGTTCTAAAGCTCCCTGAGAAATCGATGCCAGCTGAGGCTGAGTTATGTTCAATTGGAGGTCTTGTACTTCATTACTCGGATCATATTCTCGCATATGTTGCGCTCGAGATGCATAACTTCACGGTCTGTATATCGAATATAGCTTGTTATCCTCGCTGAGTCAGCATATCAACGTCCTTTTTCGACTCTTTTTCTTTTTGCTATCAAAAAAACGACAAAACGACCGAACTTCCAGGCAGACTGCGAGACGACGACGGAGACGGCGGAGGACGACCAAAGGAGCGACAAAAAGGACCAGAGAGCGCGACGGGATGCCTCCCTTCCAGTCGAAGAAGTTCCGGCCCTCGACGACGGCCGCCTCGTCGCTGGGCGAGCGCCTGGGAGCGCGGTACCGGGCCAACCTGTCTCGACACCCCTTCCTGCTCTTCGGCCTCCCGTTCGTGAGCGTGATGGTGGCGGGCTCGTTCTTCCTGACTCCGGCGACGGCGCTGCGCTACGAGCGACACGACCGGCGGGTGCAGCAGCTGGGCAAGGAGGAGGCGATGGCCCTGGGCTTGCGCGGCGCGGACGAGGACGCCAGCCAGGTGCGCCGGAACCCGCGGCGACGCATCCTGGGCGACGAGCGCGAGGAGTACTACGTATGCTACTACTACCTTCTCTACTGCTGTGTGAATCCTCGCTGACGGGGGCGTAGAAGCTGATGGCCAAGGACCTGGACAGCTGGGAGCAGAAGCGGGTGCAGCGCTTCAAGGGCGAGCCGGACGGGCGTCTCGCCTAGCCAGCTGTCGACGACGAAGTCTTAGACGACGCCTAGAGAACGATGGATAAGGCGACGGCTGCCCCTCGAAACGCCCAAGCCAGCGCCGAAGCCAATCCCCCCGTTGACCATCGCCGGTTGACCTCGCCGTCGCTGGATCTCGCGCTCTTTGACGTCAGCCAAGGGCCTGACTAAGCCCACTGAGACGAGACGAAAAGCGAGCGGAAGCTGATGATTATCATCGATGGAGCGGAGGAGAAGAAGACATCACGGCGAGGCGAGGACATCTTCTCGGCCAGACACATGACGACGGCCTCGATGTAGGATAGGAGGAGCGCTGTGTACATATAGACTACGAGTGATATGCAGCCACGGATAGAATTCGATCTCTCTTTGCTTCTTCTGCTTCTGCTTCTGCTTCTGCTTCTGCTGCTTCTCGCCCTCTTACGTCAACCGGCCAACCGTGGATCGAGACTTCGCCTTCGCCTGGCGCTCAACCACGGTTCGTCTGCGTCCACCAAACCGGCCGCCGACGCTGTCTCTTTCTCGTCTTCATCCCTTGACTTCTGCTCCTCTCTTCCTCCTCTTCGTCTGCCTCTTCGTCCGCCTCTTCTCGACTGCAGATTCTCAGTGGCAGCATCGTCTCCCTCTGTCTTCTCTCATTCTGTCTCTCTGTCTGGCCGGCTCGACCTCGCCGTCGCTGTCCGCTCAGCGCCTCCGTGGCCAGCGCCGCCCTTCTTCCCCGTACGTACCGCCCGCCTGTTCCTGAACCCTCGACCCGTCTTCCGCCTGAGCCTTGTTCGTCTTCTCTTGTTCTTCTCTTCTTCTCTTCTTCTGTTCTTCTCTTCTTCTCTCCTGTTCCTGTGGTTTGCTCTGGTTGCGTCTTTGGTGGCGACCGCTCCCTTATAACGTCATCCTTCGCCGGCCTGGCTTTCTCTCCTGTGTATATAAGAAACAACAGCCCATCGCACCGCCGGCCGCTCTCCCTTGCCACCCCGTACATCTTGTACAGCCCGCGTGTTATCGAGTAGAGACCAGAGAGACATGCGTTGCGGACGAGACTGACTGACGATGGCCTCTGCAGCCGCCCTGCCAGCAGGTGAATAGAACAGCGTCTGGATGATGGCG